GTTCATTTATCAGACAAAAGTTCTTGTGACATGACATTGATACATGAGACTTGGACATTGACAGGCTCTGTGTGGCTGTGCGACACAACAATAGGATCTCCTGGTATGGACAAAGCCTTGTATGCGATGCTACAGAGTGTACGGAGGCAGAGTAACTTCAAAGGTTCACGTACATCATATACAACATATACCATGCATGACATCAACTATCACCTTGGTCTGAAAAACAAGGAGATCTCATCTGGCAAGAAGAGACTGATCAGCTATGGTAAAGCGCACTGCCGCAGTACTTCCAGTCAAGATAAGAAAATTCCGGGCCGCGTGCAGCGTTGTCTCAAGCCTTCTTCCCGTCCTAATTAGTGTTGGGCGACGGGACACAGGAAGTAGATGGTGATACGGCAGAAATTTTGGAGGCGATTGGCCGGCGGCGCATGGACAGAGTGAGTAAAGAATGCGAAAAGATAATGCCACCAGCTGGCCGCGGCACCAGTGACCAGACGGCCACGTGTGCTCAACACGGTGTGATAAAATCCGGGGTTTGCCGTGACTTGTTCCGCTCGTGAGATTTTTGAGATATCATCGTGACCAGCCGTTATATATGAGAACAAGTTTCGTACGCCACCCCTGAACCCGCTTCTCAGCACACTCTTCGACATATTTCATAAAACAATTTGATCTACACTTCGATGGCATGAAAAAATTCGCAGCACTCTCACATACGCCTCCGTCAGCCCTTCCTACAAGTGCTTCAAGAACCACTCGACAGTGTACTTGAAGGCGCGCTCCTTCCCTGCCTTGACCTTGGGATCGCTCAAATCGCCACGCACAGCAAAGCCATGCGAGCACCCTTCAAAGAACTCCCGAACGTATCCGGGCGCGAATTTGCCGTTGCCGAGGATCTCGTCGGCCTTGGCCTGTGCCTCAAGCGGGAACTGCGGGTCGATACAACTGTTAATCAGGAGCGGTGCCTTTGCAATTGATGCGTATTTCTGCAACATTCTGGGTTAGCTGTTTCGAATCTATGGGTTCTGATGTAAATTACCTCGAGATCGGCGGGGATATGGAGCAGGGAAGGGTGCGAGGTGGCTGCTACCTTGATGACGTCGTCGTAGGCAAGGTCGAAGACGTAGCGGGCTGAAAAACAGATAAGATTAAATCTTGTCGATATGGCAATGACGCACCTCCGAAGCAGTAGCCAGCGGCTGCGAACTCAGTGACGCCCTCCTCCTTTAACGCGTTAATGAGACTATCCAGGATTGGGCGGGTCTGCGCCTGGCCGTGGTTCCCGAACCACTTCATGACGTCAAATTCGAGAGTCTATGGCAGGAGAACCGTACTGAGGATATGTTTCCGATCTCCCAAAAAATATACGCACCGCACTGGGGTCACCGGGGTGGAGCAGCGTACCTTCGGGGATTGGGTCGCCGTTAAAGTAGTCGGGAGCAATCGTCTGTGCGCGTAGGGTTAGACCTATGAAAAGTATCTCATTGAAGCCTGGGCACGCACCCTGAAACCATTACGAGCGAAATCGTCCGTCAAGAGCTAGAAAGTGCCAATGAGTGAGATCAAGTGACTTTTATCTCGCAGGGCATCACAATTCACATACCTGGGCGTTGATGAGGCCGGGGCCAAAAACGTCACTGAGGTAGAGCACCACTTTGTTTTTGGGGTAATCGACGGTGGGAGTGGCGACGTAGCACCTGACACCGCCGTACACCTCCCATTTGCCTATCAGCAATGTGATCAGGTGAATGAATCACAAGGGGCTGTGCTGATTTGTGCTTACCTTCTGGGGCTCCGTCATGGCGGACACCTGGTGGGGGATCTCAGTGGCGAGCCAGATTCAGAGAAGAATTACCTACCACAGAAACATTGTTTGCAAAGGCTCATGTTGATGGGGTGGAGAAATTTGAGGATCAAGGGGATTCGAAGTTGATGTTGGTTGGATTCTTATCTGATGATGAACTGGGGAGTTGGATGAGGATGAGAGTGGATTCCGGTGCCTTTTATACCTATAAATTATACTTAGTTATGTGAATTGACCAATGCGCGCGCCGAAACTGTGACGCGCGTTTTCGGAATTGCACGTGCCATTCGACCCTGTGTCGTGTCCGCCACCGGAAACGAACTGACCAAAAAAAGATCATGTACACACACAAGGGATCAGAAAGAGTGACAAAAGTCTCAACCAGCTTATATCCGCCTTCCCAATACTGACAAGAAATTTGCACAAATGGTGCATACCTATCAACATCATTAGATCCAATACGGGAATATGGAGTGTGTACGCTACATCATTGTAAGTCAGCGCAATTTATTTGGTTTAGTCAAGTTGAGTAGAATACAGCTTTTCTTGCATTTTATCTGATAATTTGTCTTTCTTTCCTTGTTAATTTTATGTTGCAAGCCGCGCTGTCTGGCATTGTTATATCTGCCTCGACATTAATAATTTCAGCCGGCTTCTTCCAAGGCCCAAAGCCAGTGCAAAACATTATTCCTCGTTCATAGGTACTTTCGGGGGGAGCGTCTAATCTCCGACGCCCTAAATAGTAAATTCAAATATTCCGTAAAAGGGACAAGTGTGGCGCAGGTAAGTAATTCCAATCCTCTACCAGCGCAATCTGCGTAAAATTATATGACTAACAAATTTCATTTATCATTCTATTAAAAACAGTATTAATGAGATCAAAACGGAAAATTCCACAATTGGCTGGGTCTTGGTCATTTATCCCGAGAAATCGGGAAATATCGCTGTCAGCCACTTACAAAGCCAAGAAAAAAGATTGGTCTGACTGAAAGCTTCAAGGCTGACGCGGGCCCCGAGTCGGCCCCCGATAGCTTGGAAAATCAAGTATAGCCTCGATGCAATTGCAGGGTGGAACATGCTCTTCCAGAAATTGCATGCATGATGCATGTGCATAATAACGGTCAGGGCATTGGGCAACTCTAATGGCTTGTAGGTGATTTTTGTCTTAAAATTAATACTTCATTTGAAAAAAAATACATCCATTAGCACCTCTTAGAAAGTGATAGGATACATTTATAAAATGGTCTCATTTCCGCCACAATGACTCTAGGAGTCAGATATTATAATTTTCAGAGACCTCAGTTATATGCCTCTTCATTTGCCGCATGTAGATGGCCCTAAAATCTCTGGGGATCCGGAAAAAGGACAATGCGGAATACATTGAACGGGTTAGCCATTTAGACAAGTGTATCTCTTCAAAGATCCATTGTGAGACATCGACATATTCCCAATGCGACTCTTATCTATTCTGTAGAGAATTTGTAGTACCAAATCGTATATTTATTTTGTCGTAGGGTGCACGACAATCGAAAAAGAGAAACCGTAAGATATTCTCCATTGCGTGTCAAGCAGCTAGTAGCGCCACAAAACATCTTTCTTGCCAAATGCATGCGTATAATGCACCGCGGCCCATGAATCTTCGAAAGATATAATGGATCGTTGGACAGATTCAAAAGAAGTCAAATTTCAGGAAGCCACGTGGATTTCGATACGAACTAGACAAAAGTGAATTCGATATAGTATTAGTAAAAGGAGTCCTGCGTCAAAGTAAGTGAGCCAAAATTATAGCGCTGATAGGCTGAGTGATTTTGTGGCCGTTTTAAATGGAGATTTAGGTCAGAAAGATTCCATCTGATGTTGCAAACTCGACGGATACTGGTGTGCGACCCTTGAAGAGTGCTGCGACCTCATTTAGTTCCTTGGGAGTCATTGCGCCGGGTCGTGTGAGGCATATTTTTTTCAACGTCTTTGAGGCCTGGCGAATCATATCTAATGTCGTAGGGAAATCGAAGCATGGGATGGACAGAGAGCGTAACCGTGCTAATCGGGCGTTGTTGACGATATATCTCTGTAAAATAATGAGCGACGTCGGACACTCCTTTGCAAGCCTTCCTTCAGCAGTGACTTGGAATTCAAGGTTGATGAGGGTCGATTGGTTGACGGTCAGAAGTCGGCCGAGCCCAGACGGATCGGAAAGGTGGGCTTTATCGAAAAGGTAGAGGCGAACCGAAAGTTTCTCGAGGCTGCGCAGCCACAACACGCCAAAGAATGCCGAATGGTCTACAGACGCAGACGAGTAGATCGTCAGCGAACGGAGAGTGTTTTTGAAGCGGTTAATAAAAGGGGCCAAAACAATCAAGCTCTCCTCTTTGTTGCGGCGTGCAGCGGTGTTGAAGCGACAAACTATTTCGAGCTCAGTGAGCTCCTGCAGCGTCGCCAGTGCCACGACCCTCGCAATTTCTGAGATGGTTCCGCAGAGCGCCAGTTTAGTCAGCGATCCGCTGAGTATTATTCGCGCCGACTTGGCTAGCCTCTGGGAAGCTTGGCTGCTGATGTTGAGAACTTGCATCGGACGAGGCCATTCCAGAAGAAACTCCGACACATTTATCATGGCAAAGAGACTTTTCATCACCGAATGCAATAGTTTTGGACGATATGCAGTTCCTGTGATGCAAAGACTTCTTTCTTGAAGGGAGTACACGGATTCACGAAGCACACGAATTGGCGACCACTGCCTCCCTTCGAGAAGAAGCCCCAGAAACCAGCATCCGAGGCGTAGGCTTTTGACACGGTGAGCAATATAGGGGTCTCTGAAATGCTAGGCATTCAGCAACTTCAATTGGTAATCGTGTTCTAGGTGAATGCATACGCAAGGCGCTGTGATTTCTTGATGATCATCTTCTCAGGGAGACATGAATCAAGTATCCAATCAACCATTTCGTAACGCTTGTCGAGAATAGTTACCAGAAATGTCCGGTTTATGGAGATAAAGTTTTTTGAAGGATCCAATAAGATATCTCGCGGAAGAAATGCGGCAATAATTTCCCAAATTTCCACTGGTAATCCAGGCATAGGAAAGGAGGCGAGTTCAAACTTGGTCAGATGGACTTGATGGTGGTTCAACAAAGACTCTTGTCCTTATATAAGCTTGTCTGACTTCTTTGTTTAGTACACCTTACACCTGAGCTTGCCGTCTTTGCTAGTATATCGGTTAGTACACGCGCCTGTCATGGCCTAACTGTGCGCGCGAAAGCTGGGTTCGACTCCCAGGCAGAGAGTTTCCTCAGTCCTACGGGTGCCATCCTTTTCAACCCGGAACCAAGCCTTTCAACTCTCAACATTTCAACTTGTCACTTCAACTTCGCCAACAAAGTCTATGGCAACTTTTTTGAACACATACAACAAGATTTCGATGTCTATCAACATCTTCTCTCCATGACCTCATCCACCTTTTTCCACGCTCCGTCGTCCCAGTCATCCCAACAGACACTCAAGACCACTGTATCCCTTCCTAGTAACTTGGCCTTTGGATCTCCCGACCGCGTGTCCCGCCCATTCCCGATGTGTTTAACTTCTGACAAGACATAATGCCACCTCAGCAGCCCTTCCCTGCGAAATCCCATCCTCTCCGCTGCCCCGACGCTGGGCACGTTCAACGGACTCGCCTGCCACACAACACGGCGCAACCCGAGGCCACCTTTCTCTGGAAGATCGAGGGCATAGTGCAACAACAGACCGATGGCGTTTGAGGTGACGTGGGTGCGTTGGAACTTGGGTGAGATTAGCACGAATGCTATTTCCACCACGAGATTCTGCGCTGAGCTGTTACAGAATCCGATCGTGCCAGCGAACGCGCCACCGGGATGCCCTGTTTCCGAGGCCTTGGTTTTGTCATAGACGGCGAATAAGGTGCAGCCTGGGTCGGGGTGGATGCGCCCTTCGACGAGCCCCTCGACGAAATCTGCGGGTGTCTCGTAAGGCCCGAATGGCAGGTAGTCGAATGAGGGGAGGGGGATTTTGTACAGTTCCTCCGCGTGTTTCGGGGGCTAGTTCTTGTGGGTCAGTACTTGGCCTCGATCGCTCTGGATGAGAAGCCATGGATCAGGATCACGCTCACCAGGAAAGGTGTGAGCTTGACACGCTCGCTCTCTAGATCCTTCACTGGAAAGCAGAAGTTCGGGCTGTATTCATCGATGGTCGACATGGTCTATTCTCTGGAAGATCGGAGTTTCCTGTGGACAGTACTATCTTGAAAGCGCACTTCTTATGACCCCGGACCGGACATCTCGAATATGGGCGTTTGTTTGATCACGGAGGTCCGTGTTCCGTGTCCTGCGCGTACCTGTATGCGATGACGCCACGCGACAATGATATGACATACAGTGACAGTCCTTGATAATATAAATTATATGCTGTTTTTATGTTTTTAATTTACTTCGGCTCCACTCCACGTTATAGCTTGCCTTGTGCCACCATCTTCCGAGTTTTCCAACACGTTTGGCCGAACCCTGCGGCATATCACCAACCACTCCAGCAATGCGCACCCAGGTGTGTAGATCGTTTATCGTCCATCTCCCAGTTCAACGTCTGGGTTCAACAAAAGCTCGCGCAAATCCCTAAAGCACTACCAGTTAGTCTTCCAAACGATCAAACCAGTCACCAGCGCCAACAAACTCACGGATTTTGAATTTGTGGGGGCTTGGTGCTCGCCCTACGCCTGAGCAAGCCGAACAAGAGTACTGTAATCCCAAATACACCGACCTCCAGCCAAACGAGCACCGCCTGCGCAACCACCCGCGGTGTCACTTCCTTGCCGTCCTCATGAATGTCGCGTGCCTCATGGTCCTCCGATGTCGGCGAAGGGTCAATGGGTCGCCCGGAGGCAGCCTCGTACACCGCAATCACTGCAATGATCAACCACACGAGCCATAACGCTACCGCCGTGAAAAAGGAGCCCGCGGGGAGTATCGGCAGGCCTGAGGGGTGGCGCCGGTGACGCGCGGCGAAGTAGTACAATAAGTGGAAGAGTAGCGTCATCCCGGACAAAGCTAGGGCTAGGCCGGGGAGGGCATGCCATGTTATGGGTGTGAGTTGGCCGAGTGATAGTACGCTCAGAGCGAAGACGGCCATGCAGAGGAGCGCAGAGGGGATCCCGAGGAGGATGAGCGGGTGGAAGGGGTTGTACTTTGGGGAGGTGTCGACGGGAGATTGCGACATAGGTGAGCCCTGGTCTGTAATCTCTAGAATTTGTTTTTGGAGGATTAATGGGAGGGCAAGTGGCGGTCTCGGATCCTTCGCGGCTGGCTAGGTGGCTAGGCTAGTTCACCTCTTGTTGACTGGAGTAGAAAATGCAGTGGCGGCATGTTGTGCTTTTAAGTACAGAGATATAATTGGAATGTGATAGGTTTTGAATTCACACTGCAACGCGCGTGGCGAGATTAGTAGCTGCTAGATGCTGCGGCGGTGCTGCGCTACACGCCTGCACCTTGATAGTCATCTCAACTGACCCACTGATAAGTGTTTATTGATTAATACTTACTCAAAGGAAGAGAAATGTGGGCGGTAAGTTGTACTCAAATCTCTACGATTTTCACGCACTGGAGGAAAAAAAGGTCAATCTCTGAGCAAGCATCAGTAATCTAGCTACTGAGTTGCGGGCTGCGCTGGCTCCTTGAAATATAATTATTGATTCTTATCAAGTACCGCTGCCGAATAGTAACTCAATAATACATACATGGCCTCTTGTCAGAACTAGTCTAACGAGTCGGAGTCATCAACCCTGACTGCACCGCATGTATAGCTTTGGGACTCGGGAAATCTGACCAAGTTCGTACTACTGAAGTTCCTTCAGCTGGCTGAAAACAAGGCTCATATAAATACCCAAATAATTATATGCGATGATGTTGCGCGACAGACCCCGGCTGTTGGAACAAGAGTCTTCCATGCCTTGGGCAATTTAGTACGACTGGCCTGTTGTGGCGCAATCGTGTGCCCAGTACCGAAACCCCCTATCCAAACGGCCCGTTTCATGTAGAACCATGAGATTAACCTGTAGCTCCATCCCTCATAGGAAGTGAGTGTACTGACGGCGAACTTGAAGCAAGTTCAGCGCCCAAGATCCTACTCTATTCAATCGGTCGCAGTAAAAGCCCCCTCCGCAAAGCATCTCCATCCCTATAAAAATACGAGTCTCGATCAGCAAGAAGTTTTAAATCTCAATTTGAAAGCAAGGCAAAGAAAAAAAATCTCACCGATTACCCCGAGTGGCAATAACCTCCCTGTGCCTTAAAACATGCAGAACCACCGCAAGCCCAAAGATGGCGACTTCGAAGCTAGCGAGCACCGCCTGCGCGACCATCCACGGCTTCAGGCTCGGAGGAATCGCATTGCGATTACCAGCGGCACCAGCTGGCGACGACCCAGGGACTTTCTTTGAGCTAGAGTTCGAGCTTGAAGCAAGGGGGTGACCCCTCGCAGCCTCGTAGATCGCGACCCCTGCGAGGACAAGCCACGCGAGCCATATCGCAGCAGCCGCGATTAGCGGGAACACATTCTTGCGGCGGTGTGCGGCGAAGAAGTAGTAGTACGCCGCGTGGAAGAGTAGCGTGGTTACGGACAGTGAGAGTGTCAGGGCCAGGGCTAGTTCGTTTCGTATAGGTCCGATTTTTTGTGCGATTGTGAGCGCGAGCCCGAAAATGGATGTGCCGAGCAGCGCGGAGAGGATGGAGAGGAGGAGGAGTGGGTGGGCGGGCTCGAAGCGCGTAGAGATGTAGAGGCCTTGTGCCATCGCTTGGAGTGTGGCGGTCTCAGGGGGGATGTAGGATTAGGATTAGGATTGCTGGGGAATCGGAGCCTTCACTTCAGTATTATAATCTTGCCACCAGGTACTCGAGTGGCGAAGAAAGAGCAGATAACGTAGCGGAGGACGTCTTCTGTTCCTTTTACGTTTTTATAAGGAGCGGACATGGTGAAACGTGATGTAGAGTATTCCAATTGCTATGGGCTCGCGCCGCGAGGTCCAGATACTGCGCATGCGGTGGTGCTGACAGCCAGAGCCTGCTGCGCTTCCTTCAACTTCAAACTTGATCCCTCTTGATTACTCTCTATCCTGATGCAGGACACTGCAAAAAGGAACAAATTGACAGGGAAAAAGCGTCATGAGCCTGGGATTCAACAAGACACTGTCGTCAGTGTCAGCATAGGGCACTGGAGTTGACGTTACCTGCGCACGATTGATACTTATCAGGAACTGATCATTTCCGCATCGGCAAATTCAATTGCAAGAGTGCCTTGAGTACCGCCACGAAATAGATGTATTATAATTATAATTAAGCTCGCGTCCACTCACATCCAAAGTATTCGGATCAAAAGTTCTGAAAATCTGTGTGCGCGAGCGCAGCTATTGCAGAGGCAGTCCTGGATTCAACCACAAGGCACCCCGACTGCGCACAAGTGTTCGAAAAATTTCAAACAGGCCTGAGGCGGGACCGGATGTAGTTGTAACCGGGGGATAAGGCGCTAATGGACCGGATCCGGAATCCACGCAGGGACATTAGATTAGATTGGATTCAATGCCCACATCTTCATTCTTCCCACAGGGAAATACGCTTATAAGAGTCAGAGGTCGCTGTGGTTGAAATAGAATGGCATGAAATCCCACATTTGGAGGAGGGCATAACTGAAAATTTTGGAACAAGAAAAAGATGTCAAAAATTTACTTTTACTATCCAACATCCTCTCTGCCTGGGAGTCGAACCCAGCTTTCGCGCGATCAGGCTGTATAACATGACAGGCGCGTGTACTAACCGATATACTAGCAAAGAACTTGAACGCTGTCAGACTCCGGGTCACTTGATCATCTGGCGGCGACGGTAAGTAGAGTACGCTTTACAGGTCCAATTGCCATGAACCGTACGTTTGCACCTCTCTCGAAGTTTTATCAGAATTCCTTCTTGAATTCAGGTCTATCCTAGTACGCATATTTAGACTCTATAATCTATAGCAGATAGATAGCCTTCAAATATACACATGCATAGTACGATAGTAATACATACAACTAATAGCAAACGTCACCGTACGCGCGGTGCGACTGGGAACTCGTCATAAGCTTGAGCAACCACCCAGCTTGTGACCCCGCCTTTTATTTTTCTTCCAACACCCACTCACCCCGGCTTCGGCCAATTGATCCCCTCGTCCTCCCGTCTCCGCGCACGCGTCACATCAATATACTGCCCCGGCCATGGTTCCTCGCCTACACACACACAAAAAAAGAAAAAGTCCCCATCAGGATCCCGAACAAAAAAGAACAAGAAGGTTCCAAGTTCGAAGTACGCACTGCGGTCGATGATGTTGATATCCCCATCGTCGTCGTCCTCCTCCTCCTCCTCGGCAGCGGGGTCCCAGCGGTCGGCGAGGGCCCCGGAGGGGTTTTTCGCACGGTCGAGCTCGAGGTCGGCCATGAGGCGCTGCATGGAGTCGGCCTTGGCGGCGGCGAGGGTGGCGTCGCGGGCGGCGCGGGCACGGTCGAGCTCTGGGAGGTAGGATCTGGGGGTTGAGGGGGTGATTAGTTTTGTGGAGGTTTGGGTTTGGGTTTGGGTTTGGGTTTGGGAATTGGCGGTGTTGAGGGGGTGAAGGACGGAGGAAGAGGTCGACGTACTTTTCGTATTCGTCCCGCGACGCGTCGACCGCGTCAAAAAAGTCTTTGATGCCGTCACCCGTCATACTCGATACACCAACGGCCTAGGACTAGTAAGCAAGCGATCCCCAAACGGGATGGACATGCCACACCTTGAGATGGCGGTAAAACTCGTCAAGCACGAGACTCATGCTGTTCATGAGGCTGTTCATGTACGTCGGCTCGCCCTCGGCGTCGGTAGCGCCGGCATGAGAGGCGAGGGCGGCCTGGAACGCCTCAAAGTCGTCCATCCACTCAAGGGCAAAGTCGTGCGGCTGCACGTCGGTCTTATTGAACACGAGGATAAAGGGTAGTTTGGTCTTGTAAAGGATGCTGTGCGGGCAGAGAGTGAGAGGCACGATGTGGTGGGCTATGGAAAACGGACCTGCACGCGTAGAGCATATTGGACATGAACGTGGCGGGGGCAGTGGTGCGGGGCGTGTCGATGATGTAGGCGACGACGGTTGGGAGCACGGAGGCGACTGCGTCGGTGATGATGGCGCCCGAGGCGGACCAGGTGAAGATCTCGATCTGGCCTGGGGTGTCGAGGATCACATAGCTGCAACGAGATTAGATTGACACTGGGAACAATGGTCAACACGCACTCGACGGTTTCTGCACGCTTCTCGACGAGGCTGAGGACCTGATCGAACTTTGTCGTGAAGAGGTTGAGGGCGGTCAATATGCCTCCGTTGGGGCCTAGGTTGTACCTTGGGCGCGATCAAGCTACGAGCTGGAAGAGAAAGGGAGGACACACTGCTTCATGACCTCTGCATAGTTGACGGTGTCCCTGATGTCGATATTGGCTTCGAAAGGGACGTGTGTGACTGCGGGGTCGAGGTTGAGGATATACGGCGGCGTAGGAGGGTCCTGGGAGTGCAAGTACGAGTTGATGCGCTGCACAAACGTCGATTTGCCCGCGCCAGCCATGCCTATGGTGATGATCGCGATCGGCTTCTTTTTGGTTGGCGCATCCATGACCGTCCAGAATAGAGATTGGTGCCGTGACAACCTGTGACAAGTCGCGGCCGCGTTCCTGTTTCACGACCACCACCTCGTTGCCACTTCAGCTTTCTGACCACCAACCCTCCCACAAGTACTGATAACCATGCTAGAAGCATTGTAAGTTAATTTTTGTTACGCAGCTCTTCGTTTCACTAATCAACAGGATTCCTTGCCTCCTACCGCGTCAGACGCGCCAGGCTGATGCAGAACACGGATCTGTACCCCACAGACCTCCCACGACCTATCGATCCACGATTTGGGACCCTCGGCGTCCCTGTAGGCACCCACTACGAAAGCAGGCGCGTAGTGCTCCCCGTTGGCATTCCAATGCATCATCTAACGCGGATACACAGAGAACAGCTCCGCCGGGCGGGCTTACACACGCGCAGCTTTGCGGGTATATCTGGAACCAGTGCGGGCGGTGCATTCTCCGTCGTCGTTGCGAGTGGTTATGTGGATGATAAAGACGAAGGCGATTTTATGTGAGGGTGCTTGGGTTTGTGTTCAGGCTATCACTGACTGACAAAGAGACTTGTCGTGACAGCGTCTACACTGGGACTGGTGCGTTTCGTTGCTGTTTATTACCTGTAGAGACTCTTGCTGATGCTTTGATGTGTGTAGGAGGGCAAGAGAACACATTCTCGGTGCGTATGCGTATCCCATTGACTTGCCCAAGTAGAGGGCGGATAAGATAAAAACAAACCAACGCACATCATATTTTTCGTCCCCCCACTACCACCACCCTTCACCACCCCTCATCGCCGTGCCCCACAGCATTTAATCATACCTATTGTGTTCCAAAACTAAAAATACCTTTATTGCAGGGTGGCGGTAGCCAGACCGCGGACCAGACCTTTGCACACCCCGATAATCGTGCACTGCTGGTGCGTCCATCTTTCTTTGTAACGTTACCCCTCCCAAGCTCTTTGCGATTCGTCTTTCCGAAGACCACTCGTACTCCTCATCTTTACGCCGCACAAACTCCTATGAGCAATAGCTAACTTCTCATTATCGGCCACCTCAGAAATCCGTCGAGACACAGCAGCCTGTGCGTGTCATTCGGGGGCCTCGCAAGGGGTCCAAGTACGCTCCGCAATTGGGGTATGCCTTCGCTACGCTGTATTTACGTTTAGCTGACCGTACGGGTGCATTTTCGCAGGTACCGCTTCGATGGGATGTATGTCGTCGAGAAGGTGGGTGACCCTTATATTTCCTCCCTCCCCTACTGTCTCGATCTTTTCATTTCCTCGACGAGCCGGCGAAAGCTAATCGATGACTTCGTTTTTCGTAATACAGGCGTACCTCGGGAAAGGCATCAACGGGTACAAAGTGTGCAAGTACCATCTGCGGGTACGTGCTTGCGATCCGGCCTGTATTCAACATAGCCATAGCCTGACCATGACCATTCGACCCCACCAGCGTGTACCCGGCCAGCCGCCGATCCCCACTGCGTATTGAGTATCAGGCGCCGCTCAACACCAACACTGGCCATAGCGACAACGGTCGCTGCTCCACCCAGTCGAAAGCCGACGCTTGCTGGGTTAGTCTCTGCTTGATTGTGTATCTGTGTATTTATAGTCCCGGGTTCGTGTTCCTGCTTTCCGTTTACATCTACTTCCCCTTTTTCATCCCTCATGCCTCACCACCTCTGACTGTCCTATGACTGTCATCTATATGGGTGCCGTCTCTCGCCTGCTTGCTTTACGTTCTGTTAGATTTACCATGTCTCGCCCTATCTCTATGTCTGTGTCTATTTCTATCGCGTCTGTACTACTACTTTGATGGTTATGGGAATATTCAATCTATGTCTGCTTCAAATGCTATGGGTATTATCGGTACCGGATGCTCTGTAGCATGGTCGTACACATACAGTTGTCCTCGTCTACACTAAATGCGAAGTCCGATGGGCGAAGCGAGCCCTTGCGAAGTGTTATTGGGATGAGCCAGACTCAAGCCAGCTCTAGGCCGTCGGGGTATCACAGATGATGTGTTAAACGTTAAATAACGACGGCTGACGGCGGCAAACACTTCTTCGATGCTGACATCTTGGGGGACTTGGATCGTGGTGAAAATTCAAAACGCTGGTTTATTTTTTAGGTGTAGAAACATAGTTTCGTTATCAGGTAAGGATTGATAACAAGATAAACAGCGGTGCGGCAAGAGTTCAAATATCGAACATGCCCAACCAGTTCAACTCGGATCAACAAAAAATTTCGGCAGTGTGGCGCCGTAAGCGCGGCTTATAACCCCCAAACGATTTCGGCACCCAGCCAAAATCGCCGTGACGCCACGGAAAATTCGGCGTTCGGAGGGTCGCAGTTAAGTGGAAACGGTGGTATCGCATCGCTGGGTGCAATATTAATCAACTACATTGCATGCGGCAATAGCTGCCGGACTTTCCAAATCCCACATTTCCTGGAAAGACTTGGAAAAAAATATAAACATCGCAAAAATTAGTTTTTAAAGTAATTTTAGGCTTTTTTGCCTGCAATTGATTAGGTTTGTTTCCAGTGTCATGTCGAAAAAGCGTCAAGGAGACAGTCCTCGGAGGCAGTCAATACCAAGCGCTTGTGCCTCGACGTTTCATGTGAGTATCGAGAATTAGCTCCAAATCTCTCATCTGTCTTCACCTCATGCTGGAATGGGTTTTCAGCGCAGACACTCACAAAAACTGCGGTATTAAAAAGGAAAAATGAAAGTTTCAGGACGCGGTCCAGGCACGTCTTCTATCTGTTTCCAGAACAGTGACGATTCCGAATTTCCATTCAAAGGCTCCAAGTTCGACACTCCTCAGAGGCGAGAAATCATCGCACACCGTAAGCGCGCCAAGGAAGAGATTAAAGCACTCAGCATGAACCAGAAACCAGCCGATCCTTTCCAGGAGCTAGGGCACCACTCCAATCCATGTACGTCTCCACGCCGCACCCGTATGCTCGTACTGACAGAGACCTGCGTCGTAGGGCGGAGCTCGCATTCGCCAGCATCTGCCGCTACCGCATCGAGAAGATGTTCGACTTCACGTACCTGCGTGAGTTCGAGTATCGCCAGCCGCCGGGCCGCTCAGCGATCGACTGTATCCTGGCAGATGGCCGGGTGCCTCTCTCGCGCGACGCACTGAACCTCGCTTTGTACAACTCTTTTGACGACACCCCTGTGAGCGAGCGGAACGAAAATATTTATACTCCGAGGGACCATATGCGCAAGGTCATCAACGCCGCCAGGCCTGGCTTCCGCCCGGCATATATTGAGATGTATGAATGGCTCTACCAAGAAAAATTTCATCTATAATTCTGCATTACATTACTTGATGATAAGTCGTGGGTTCAGTATACATCAGGCAACGGCGCATGGGGAGCAAGCGACGTAGAGTTGAACGAAAAATACATTACACAAGGAAGAACAGTAGCTACTTGGTTGTGAGAAAGAACTTGGAATAGTGAGAGTGGAAAGGGAAGCAACCTGGTATTACTCTCTGACAGCGGGACGAGTGCCTCCCCAGTGGCAATAGCAGAATGCTGAAAGTATTGGATGTTGGCATTCATGGGGTAGTGGTAACCTGGGTCGTTGCCACAGCGCTATTAGAGTCGACCCGCCGGGAGTTCGATTCTCTCTTAATGCACGTCAACATTGTATAGTCCATTTTTTTATCAGGCTTTTTGCTGCGTAAGTTTTCTTCCTGTGTTTTGTAGAGTAGGTGGTAGGTTTGTTTGAGGATATGTATGTACAGTATGCGTACTCTCCATGTCGAGATTTATAGATTACACAAATTTCTGCTTGCTATCAGAGTTCGGTAGATATGAGGCGGCGAGGCTTAAGAGCACGTCGTCACAGCGCGCAGGGAATAAAATATGAATATTGATGCGATGACGCGCGCAGACTGATGCCGACCGTGGCTGTGCCCCACCAGTCCATACAAAACCAGTTTTGACAGCGATCGATTCTGGACATCGACTCTCCAGCGCGCCAGTCTGCGCGCCCACCACCGTGTCCCATCGATAATTACGTGATAGCGCCCATCCGGCATCGCACATAGCGCCTGCCCGTCCTCAACACACATGGATCGGTCAGTCCCACCCTACGCCCGCCCACACTGACGCTCACAGCTCCCTCAGCTACTCCAAGATCGAGAAAGTCGGTGCGTGCTCCTCCTTTTTGCCTTGCTTTCCTTTTCTTACATCCACCAGGCGAAGGTGTGTTCCCGTTCCCAAACACTGTGTCGTGCATGAACCACGCACACAGGCACATACGGTGTCGTATACAAGGCGCGCGACACGACGAACAACACCATCGTCGCACTCAAGAAAATTCGCCTCGAGGCTGAGGACGAGGGCGTCCCTAGCACTGCCATTCGCGAGATTAGCTTGCTCAAGGAGCTTAAAGATGATAACATCGTCAAGTAAGCCCTGTGTCCGATCGTGGGCATCGTGACCCCCTGACGCGCTCCACAGGCTCCTGGACATCGTACATGCTGACCAGAAACTTTATCTCGTCTTTGAGTTTCTCGACGTCGACCTCAAACGCTACATGGAGACCGGAAACCAGAACCGTACACCGATTACTATGGACATCGTCAAGGTGTGTGCGACTTTCAATCGCCTTGAAGTTCGATGTCGGATGGGAAATGCAACGGCATTGATTCCGAGAGCTCAACGCACGCAGCGCGTTGGCGTCGAACTCTTCTTGCACCCACCCTCCAGCAGCCGCCAAAACTGACACGCCTTTCCCCCACCAGAAATTCACACACCAGCTCAACGCCGGCCTGCTCTACTGCCACTCCCACCGCATCCTCCACCGCGACCTCAAGCCACAGAACCTCCTCATCGACAAGCGCGACAACCTCAAGCTCGCAGATTTCGGGCTGGCACGGGCATTCGGCATCCCGATGCGCACTTATACCCACGAGGTGCGTTTTGCGTTAGATGTTTGGCGCCATCTTGCTTCTCTCCCATCTCTGTCCCTGATAAATCCCCCCTCCCTGCACTCCTTGTCCGTACTGACCCCATATTTCTACCAACAGGTAGTGACCCTGTGGTACCGCGCGCCCGAGGTGCTCCTTGGCTCGCGCCACTATTCCACCGCGATCGACATGTGGAGTGTCGGCTGCATCTTTGCGGAGATGGCTATGCAGGGCGCGCCGCTCTTCCCCGGCGACTCGGAGATTGATCAGATTTTCAAGATTTTCAGGTGAGTTTTTCGCGTTTTCGCGTCGTTCTTCGAGCCTCGGTCTGTCTGGGTCTGGGTCTGAGTTTGGAGGGAGTGGGCGCGCGTACGCTCCAGCCTTGATTTTGCGTTCGCGTTTTCGTTCTGCCAAGGCGCCATTATTGCTACATCACGTGCCTTTTTGTCTCCGCCTCTGGCTTCTTTCCTTTCCTTTCCTCCCATTCCAATTCCCTCACTAACCAAAACGCTCCACAAACAGGATCCTCGGCACCCCGAACGAAGATATCTGGCCAGGCGTCAGCGGCCTTCCCGACTATAAGCCCACTTTCCCCCAGTGGTCCCGACAGGAGCTGGCGCGCATCGTGCCGACGCTGGATGAGGCGGGCATTGATATCCTCAAGGTGCGTTCCTTTTTTGTTTAGTTTGAGATGTTGGGGGTAGGTGAAAGGGTTGGGTGGTGATGGGAGGTGGAGTTGACCCTGTCTCGTAATGCCATGGGTGCATGAGGATGTCTAGTCTGGTTTTGCAAATGGAACTTGAAGTGGGGGTGGGGGTTGTGTGATTGTGGTAGTGAAGGGCTTGGATAAGGAGTCCTGGTAGTCGATTCGTGTTGGTTGTGCAGTGATCTTCCGCGAGGCCGACTGCCGGGCCACGTCCATTTATTTCCCTTGGAATGTTCATGCTGACCGATTCCTACCTTTATCTACAGCGTACATTGACGTACGACTCCGCGAAACGGATTTCAGGTGTGTATCATACTATTTCCACCTGCCACTTTTAAGTACTTATACATCGCGATGCAGCAAAACGCGCGCTGACGCACGCGTATTTCGATGGGTTCAAACCCTAGACAGGAGCGTCGGCTGGGCGTGCGGGCTGGGGCGGATCGTAAGATTCGTGATGTCGTTATACCCCCTCCTTTCCCTTCCTGTCCCTCCCCCTGTCTGATGTCCAAATATGATGTATTTGCTTTCCTTTCCACTCTCACTAGTCCCTGTTTCTCAACTTAGCTACCGTTTAATGCCATTTTCTTCCAATTCCAGTACTCTACGCCACCTGCCTGATGTAGACTGAATACGCAACCTGACGTTGAATGCAATATAATTAATGTACAACACATGTAAAATTACAGATTAGTATTTTTCTTTGTACAGCCATTCATACATCTCAATGTACGCAGGGCGGAAGCCAGGCTTGGTAGCGTTAATGACCTGGCGAATATAATCCTTCGAAAAACAGACCTCATCGTTACGCTCACTCGGAGGGGTGTTGTCAAGGGAGTTATATAAAACGAGGTTCAGCGCGTTGCGCGAAAGAGGCACCCGGCCGTCTGCGAGGATGCAGTCGATAGCTGAGCGGCCCGGCGGCTGGCGATACTCGAACTCACGCAGGTACGTGAAGTCGAACATCTTCTCGATGCGGTAGCGGCAGATGCTGGCGAATGCGAGCTCCGCCCTGCCAGCGACATAGGTCTATGTTAGTGCGAGCATACAGGTGCGGCGTGGAGACGTACATGGATTGGAGTGGTGCCCTAGCTCCTGGAAAGGATCGGCTGGTTTCTGGTTTCATGCTGAGTGCTTTGATCTCTTCCTTGGCGCGCTGATGATACGCGATGATTTCTCGCCTCTGAGGAGTGTCAAACTTGGAGCCTTGTGGATAGTCAGAATCTGCAATGGTCAAGAAAGAGATCGAGCGTGTGCCACCTATGCCGCGTGCTGCGGGTCTCTTCTCCCTTTGCGATAGCTCTGCCGGAGGTGAAGCAGCTGGAGTCGATGCCTGTACTACTAAAAACTATAATCAGTTGAACTTGAAGGCAGTTTACAAAGGGCCTACATGTAGCATCGAGGCACAAGCGCTTAAAGCTGGTGTTGACTGCCTCGACACCTTCCTGGCTATCCCCTTGACGCTTTTTCGACATGAGTAAGACAATCAAGAGCCGCGTGACGTCATGTCGTACTCCGCCCATAGTCTGAAGGGCAAACGCACATGGATCGGTCAGTCCCATAGCTCACTGCCGTCACTCCGCTTCCCCAGCTCCCCGGCGCTCACGCGCACGGCCCGCCCCAGTGACAGTCAATGTATGCCTCACATACCCTCTCAGCTCTACAAGGCTCATGGGACGACTGGCAGTACCAGCGATAGTTTATTCCTCTGTTCAGGATTTTGGGCGTCCTGGCTCACTCAGAGGAGAGAACGTTCTGGGTTTGGCAAAGCGTTGATTGGCTCGCCGCCCGGGTGCATGGTAGATTTCGTTCCAAGTTTTATCGCTGATGGTTAGTAACGAGGGTCTGAGTTGCAGATGGCAGAGGGACCCGAGCCCGGTCGCCTTTCAGTATCCCCTTAGTCCAGCATGCGCAAGCACTTATCTACTTACAAAGGTACATGCGATGCATCAAGTTCAAATCTGCGATATATCCATTGTGATGCTCGTTGAAAGAAGGTCCTCCTGTCGACTTAGCGGACCGCTTTGGGTCGTTGCAAGGGTATCTTAGTTGGAGCCAAATGAGAGGCCCGATTCTCGGTACGTATCCTAGAAGCTTTTCTCGCTCGGCCTGCAGCCGCTACTCTCGAGACCGGCCATATGTGGTGTCGAATACTGCAACAGTATATGGGCAAGTGGGAGAGTTCAGAGTGCTGCTGATGGAGCGCCCATCTGTACCCTGGATAAGATGTAAACATCTGCAGGATCCCTCGAATCAACACTTCGCGATAGTGCGCACGTTGAAACTACAGGTGTTTATTATCTTGCTTCTTCTCGAGCATCTGCCAGAAAGTTGTTCAGTACTTGAAAACCAGTCTAGGCTTGGATACACACCCCCGAGTGAGACCGCCGTTCAAGGTGTTTACGCTGACGGAGTCGCTCTTAGGTCCGAGCGCACTCCAAGTCGTCCTCTCGTCGTGCTTTGAGAGGGAATGCCCAACACCGTAGAACTTGAATCCCCTAGTCGGTGAATTGCTGTCTTCCTGAATTTGTCATGAGGGGTGAGCTGGGGGTGGCACAAGCTCGGAGGAGTATGCACCGAATAAAAGCATCAGCCGATGACGTATGGTTCTTGCCAGCGGCTTGCGCTTCGACCCCACCATCTTTCAGTCCACCTAGGAGACGGAGGATTTCAGCGGCTGAGAGTGGATGGAAGATTTGAATTACCCACTCCTATCCTGCATATCAACTGCAAGGGAAATGCGATCAGTAGTGGGATAAAAACAAGATTAAGATACATACGCGCAGGACATCCGTGTGTTATCTGATCCTTTCGAATAATCAAAGCATATCTTGTCGGTCTTCTCTGAGGAGAAGTGGAAGTCGGTGATTACAGAAGTATAATAGCAGGCAGGGGTTAGCTCAACGTTCGTTCTTGCGCAGTTTTGTACGGTGAGGGATGCTACCGAGGGGCTCGACAGTACAATGATGAGCAAGGAGGCTAGATCAAGACGCGTGCTCAAAACAAAAGGAACGGG